AGGTTCTTCTCCCATTGGTGTGGTTTGTCTCCAAGAGAAAAAGGGAATAACCTGAGTTTGAAGCCATCCTCACTCACCCCATTGATCTTTGTTAGGGAGCATAGTCTATCAAAATTATCAAGATGATCTAGAGGATCTTCAAGTGGCAACCCATGGAACTTGCTGCTCTGAACCATTGAAATCAATCCAGACTTGATCTCAAAGTTGTTGTTTTGGACTGCTGGTGGAATGATGCCAGTCCTGTTATTATAGGCATTTGGTGCATCACCAGCGCCAATGGGTCTAGCTGCTCTTGGAGCTTGTGCAGCGCCTCTTGGTCCTTGCTCACCTTGTAAGCCCTAAACACCTTGATGTCCTTGTGTACCCTGAGCGCCAACAGCTCCTTGAGGACCCTGGAATCTGATATCATTCATAACAGGTTCCTGATTGTTCATCCCAAGTCTCTGCAAGTGTTCCTGCCTTTCTTGCTCTCTTCTTGCTCTCTGACCTCTGTCCAACAGATTGATGTTGTCTATGAAGTCTACAAGATTGCTTGAACCTCTGGATCTCAAGTTCATATACCTGAAAGACAGCAAAGAGAGTCAAAGGAGATTAGTAACCAAAGAAAATTAAAAACTTGATCTTAAAGATTCTACAAACTCTAATGTTTCAAACTGTAAACCCAAATGGCGACGGCGTCAAATTGATATAGAGGTTTTTAAGTCTCAATCAATCACCCCTCTATGTGAATCAGTTGTAGCATAGCATAGGGTTTTATGTCAATCCAAATGGGTTTTAGTTGAAAGCAGAAGAGTTATGGGTAAAAATCCTTAAGTCAAGTAAGCATAGAAGGCTTTTTGTTGCCTAAGCAACCAATCTATCACCCTAAGATGATCAAGCAACAAAGAGAGCAAAGAAAAAGGTAATTTAAACAAGATTAAGTAAGCAAAACAGAGCAAAACAGAGCAAATCCGAAATATAAAGGAGAAAAGCAAGTTCCTAGATGTAGTTATTGACTTTGGAGAATTCAAGAACTAATTAAGGTTGTTTCAAACAGCATTGATCAAGCAAACAAGCTAGCAATGGTGATTCCTAGACATGGAGTTCACAATCATGCAAGCTAGATCCAATGTCTTGTAAAATAGCCCTTTGCTAAACATCTTAACAAGAACTAACTCTCATTAGTGCTAAAACATTCAGCAAGCATTAATAAACAACTCTATTCAAGTCAAAATGCTCCTCAAACAGTCAATATCTTGAGCCAAGGCCAGCAAATCCTCTATCAAACAAGATCAATATTTCATCAAACACTTGGTGGGCATAAGAGAAAGCCTAAATTCTAGATAAGTGTGATCAAGACAAATCTAGTTTAAGAACAGATCAATAGAGAGGAACTCATATAATAAAGCACTAAACAAACCTTAATCAAGCCCTAAATTCCCCTAATCTACCACATCCAAGAACCCTAAGAAAACTACTCACTAATACTCATATTTAACATCAAATCACAAGAGGAAAATATGCTAATCATGATTAAAAGAGAAATTAAAGAAAGATTAAAAGCAAATACCAACTTATATTATATAAGGCAGAAGATTTGTCTTACTACTCAAAGAAAATGCTTAAGAACAGTAAATTGACATGACTCCTCGAAAATTCCAGAAAAAGGCCTATTTATAGGCAAAAGAAGGAAGCCCTAGAGTAATGGCAAAAGTGTAAATAAAACAGGCTCAGACTGGATTCATATCGATCAGTTGTAACGGTCTGGGCTTGATCGTTACGAATCATATCGGTCTGGAGAGTGATCGATACAGTGACCGAAATACACACGGCGCGTTTGTATCGATCACTCCTGACCGATACCTTTGATCGATACACTTTGTATCGATCACCCCTTGACCGATAACCTCCGTGCATAGACCAAAAAGCTCTGCAGAGATCGTCTGCCTTGGTCCATTTTGCTCCTTTTGGTCAATCTAGCTTCTTGGATCATCCCCAAAGCTTCTCCAAGCTCCTTTTCGCTCCATAAGCACCTAAAAAACATCCATAATGCAAGAAAAAATGCAAACTATATCCTAAATGCAATCTAAGTCTAAAAGGAGAAGAAAATGGGACAAAAACTAAGGAAAACATGCAAAAGAGAACCAAAACATGTACTAAATGCAAGCCTAAATGGTGTAAATACAAGAGATATCAATAGCTTGCTCCACACGCTCTGGAAGCTGCTATTGCTCACTCTCTTTCTCCACAATTGTTCCACAAAAAGCAATGGAGGGTGAGACAATCTTGTAGACCTTGTACTCATCAACATTCTTCAGAATCACAAAGTCTCTCTTGAAGTCTACTTGAGCTCCTACTGTTGCCAAAAACGGTGTTCCTAGATGAAGTGGTACCTCTCTTGAATATGTCTTCTCCATAACCACAAAGTCTGTTGGCACCAAGCTATTGCCAAGCTCACAAGTGATCAGAAACTTTCCTGGGTTAGGAAGCTTGGTTAAGTTTTCAGCTCCATGTTTCTTTTCAGATTAGCCCCCACATTCTCTAGAATTGGCTCCACTACTTCCAGCTTGTCAAAAACTTCTTTAAGGAACATGATTTGGTCCTTCACTTCAAGCAAAGTGGTGCCATGAGGAAGCTTTATTCTAGCATATTGTATGTCATTCCTAAACTTTGAATAGACTGCCATCTGAGCCATTGTAAATTACATTGTGGGGTAAGGGATTGGTGGTTTATAAGCTTGAGCTTCAGGAGCTTTACCCTTCTCATTGTTGCTTGAAGAGCTACCCACTTGGCGCTCATACAGCTCTCTGGAGTCTTCAGGACTTTCCTTAGCCAAGACCATCAAGGCGTGGTATGTCTCTACATGCTCCTTATCAGCTTCACTGAGCTCTGGTTTGGCTTCTTCTTCTGGAGAAACCAAGGCTTTCTCAGCAGCTTCTCTTGCAGCTCTCTCTTGCTCCAAAACAAGCTCTTCTTCTCTGTTCAAGCTTTCATCTAACCCTTCGAGGAACTGTTCTACAATATCAACAGATTTTTGATCATGGCAGAATTCCTTAGGATTGGCTTCACTCTTTCCTGGTAATTGATTCTGAGGCTTTGAAGATGAAGATCATTTGCTCTCTAGAGACTTAACTCTTTGTCTTAGAGCATCTAACTTGCCAAACAGGTCACAAGTAGTGAAGTCTATCTTGTTATGCACTTCAGCAAACTTTTTTGCAGCTCTATTGTGGTGTTGGCTTGACCAGTCAACAGTTAGTGCATCATCTGCTTTAGATCAACATCTTGAGTGCTAGAAGAAGTTTGTGTATTGCCAAAACCTGGTGGGACAATAGCTGGTCTTGGATAAAAGTTTGCTTGTTGAAAACCTCCTTGAAATGGTGATCTTGGAGCAAAATTGTTCTGTTGGTTGAAAGGAGCAAAAGGCTTGGTTCCTTGGCTTTGTTGAGCACCTTGTGAGGGATAGACCTGATCCTGAGGGTTAGCCACGTTGGTGCTTCTATAGGTGAAGTTAGGATGATTCCTGTAGTTGTTGAAACCGCCTCCTTGTTTGTTCATGTAGAAGGCTTCTTCTTCTACAACTGTCCCATCTTTTTCTTGTGTAGCAACACTATCACCAACAAAGCTTACATTCTTGAAAAACACACTCAGCAGCTTGTATAACTTGTCACTCAAAGCTTTAATCTCGTTCTTTGTTGTGCTCTCACCATTAGCGCTTACAACAGCTCTAGATGTTCTGTCATACTTCTCACCATAGTTTCCATCAGATAGTGTCAGATTCTCCACAAGAGTTAGTCCATCAATAACAGTATTCCCCATAAAATTTCCATTTGATGCTATATCCAAGAGCATCCTGTACTTAGGCGTCACTCCTCTATACAATGTAGACAGCAAGCTTATATTTGTGAACCCATGATGAGGGCACTGCAAAGTGTATGACTTGAAGTGCTCCCATGCTTCAGCAAATATCTCATTCCCATGTTGAGTGAAGCTGCTAATGGTGTTCATGAGCTTTGCTGTTCTTGTTGAGCTGAAGAATTTGTTGAAGAATGCTGTCTTGCATTCATCCCAAGTGGATATGAAGCCTTGTGGAAGTGTCTTCTCCCACTGATGTGCTTTGTCTCCAAGACTGAATGGGAACAAGCACAGCTTCAAAGCATCTTCAGAGACTCCTTGAATCTTGGTCATACCACACACTTTGTCAAATTGATCCAAATGATCCAAAGGATCTTTATTGGGCAGACCATAAAATCTGTTTCCTTGCACCATGTTGATTAACTCAAGCTTGATTTCAAATTGGTTTTGGTACACAGCTGGAGCATGAATTCCATTCCTATTATAGTGAGTATCAGGCACATCACCAGCTCCTATAGATCTTGCAACTTTAGGTTCATTGAAATAGATTGAATGCGTTTAAAACTTCGTTACACTAGCTTGTGGAGAAATTTACTTCTAAAATGTATTGTAATTCTCACTTTTCTCAGGAATAACAAGTTTGTCCAACACTTCCACTTTTTCTATTTCTCGCTTTAAATCTCTATAAAATGCTGAAGGTTTCGAATGTTTCTTACAATTATATTTTTCGTTCCCATAGTTTTCTATTCATGGTGGCAATGACATCGGAACTTATAGAAGGCTGAATCTACAAATTCTGCCCGAGAACAGAATTTAAGAATTAGAATTTGATGCGACCTGTGACAGCAAGTGCCAAGAAAGAAGTGTAATATTGACCTTGTGCCAAACAAGACTTTTGTTTTGTTCTTTACTTTTTTTCTTTTTCTCAATCAAACACATCATTAATAGAGCAAGAGAATTAGAAGTGAAGATCAAAATAATACAGAACCAAGAAAAGGACAATATTAAGTTCAGAACTTTAATCTTCCAAAAACACAATATCATCAAAAGAACACATCCGAAGGACAACAATTTATATTGTAAAATTTGCTAAACCTTATAGTTACAAATTGCATAAACTAGATGGGGAAACCTCAGAGTTTTCAATAAAATTGTAATACAAATACCTTGCCCAAGTTATATGACAATGAGGTAGACCTATTATGTTATAGTTATATATAAACAGACAAGAATTTACTGAAAACCCTATTAATATGTGTAACTGAAATAAGGAAGGAGACGAGGAACTCATATGATGTATAGGCTTGACTTTTGAAATCAGCCAAGCTTTGGCATGTTCCTTCGTCACCCCATATCTGTCAAACTTAATGTTTGAAATCAATTAATTACTAACCAAATTATGAAAATGACAATTGTGAAGAAATGGAATAAGATAATTAGGGTTTGAACCTGTTTTCAATTTTTCATCCTCCCCACTACAACCATGTGCTGAAGCTCTCTAATTTTGATTTATTTTTAAAAGTAAATCAGTTGTCCAACCATGGATTAGGATCTAAACTGTCGCAATCCTTTCTGCTTTTCTTCTTCCTTCATGACATGATCTCCCCATTGAGTTGTCGATGTTTCCGTCACTAACTTTCACCACGCCTACATGTTGTGCTCGCCACTTTAACTACATTTTGTGATTGCAAAACATTAGAAATCTACAGATGAAATCAATAAGTGTAAATGAATGTAAGAACAGAAAACAATACAAATCTCAAGGTTCTCTGGTTGGAGAAGGCGTTGGGATGGGGGTGACATTGGAAAATTTGTTTTAGAAAAACTGATATTATAGTACGAAAAGAATGACAGGAATATGTATAGTTTTATAATTTAGTATTTGTAGATCTGGAATACGAAGAGCTGTCGATCAAATTTAGGTAATCGTTCACAGAAATTGCTAAAGAGGATGGGATCGAATTGCTTATGCCATGTGGCATAGTTGAAGAGCAGGTTTTTTTGCTGATGTGGATGGCTTCTTAAACTCCAAACAGTTCATTTTATTTAGTACTACTAGGGATTGTCCGCGCTAAGCGCGGAATTTGTTTATATTTCTGTTTTAAATTGTTTGTGTTTTAATTTGTGTTTTAAGTAATTTTATTTATTTTAGATTTGTGGGTGTATTTCAATTTGTTTGTTTTGTTTAGTTTTTGATTGATGTTGTTGTAATGATTTTTAAAAAAAAATTAAAAGACATGCTGGCACTATATTTGTTTTGTAGTATTAGCCATAAACATTATATTCGTTATTCTTAATAGTTCTGTGTATTAAATTTTGTAATAAAAATATTCTTGCAAAAATGACCTAAAATTTGATTTGAATTGCAAATCTAACCCACAAAAATCACTTTCCCAATATTTGCCATTTTGTATCCAAACAACCCTTCATAGTTTCAGGATAAGAAGTTGCACGTGATATACTATGCTTCAAAAACCTTGGATGACAGCTTCTCATGATCATATCATACTCTCTCTCTTGAAAAAGATTTGTCCTCAAATCTTGCTCTTTATAGAAAGAACAATTTGGACATAAAATTTTAAAACAAATGATCAAGACTGAATTTAAAAACTGCAAAATCACCAGATTTGTTTTTTTTCTCTTTTTTTTTTTGCTTTTTTCTCTCTTTTTGTTTAATAAAGGAAAATAAATAAAGAAAAATAAAAAGAAAAAGAAAAAGAGAAAGTGAAAGATAGAAGATGAAAGAAAATGACAAGATGAGAAGATGATAACAAAAAATAAAATATAAAATATCAAACTCAAGAGTGTGCTCTGATACCAAATGATGTGATTCTCCCAAAAATCAGCACTCTAGAGTTGGTAGGGGGTTAAATTTGCATCAAAGAAACCGTGAGGTCTCAAAGATCAAAGGATGTGGAGCAAATGGTCACACAGGAGCTGCGGAAAACTCCTGATTTACCTCTCAATACTCTCAGATATTACACACTAAAAGCATTAAGGATTTCTTCAGATATTACACACCAAAGAGATGAATCTAACTTAAAAGGATTTTTGATAAAAAGATAGATTGGTTTTTTTAATAAAAGGGAGCCTCTATTTATAGAGGAAATACAACAATGTCGTCCATAATAGTTGCTAAACATGCAGAGCATCTAGGAAGATGAAATCTCAACTCTAAAGTGCATGTAAGAGAGAGAAATAAACATAATTATGTAGTTGTTGCTATGGACGAAAATTGATCTTCTTTGATTGTTTTTGGGCTGATTCCACTTTGCTGGGATTCTCTGATTGATCAAGATTGTAGAATTAGTTGGTTTGTAGCTTAGTTCATTCTGGCCTGGTCGGAATCCTTCAATAAATGCGTCCATGTCTAAATCCGGTACACTGGAGATCACATAATTTGTAAATTGCATAACTCCTTCATCCGAACTCCATTTCATTTGATTCTTCTTCGAGGAGCTCCGTGATTGAGCTGAGCACATTCTCCAAGTAATTTCATGCACTGAATCATCATGATTGAGTATTTACGATTCGATCAGTGCACGCATGTCCTAATGCTTCTCATGATCATATCATACTCCCTCTCTTGAAAAAGATTTGTCCTCAAAATCTTGCTCTTTATAGAAAGAACAATTTGGACATAAACTTTTAAAACAAATGATCAAGACTGAATTTAAAAACTGCAAAACCACAAGATTTGGTTTTTTTTTTTTCTCTCTTTTTTTTTGCTCTTTTTTTTTCTTTTTGTTTAATAAAGAAAAATAAATAAAGAAAAATAAAAAGAAAAAGAAAAGGAGAAGGTGAAAGATAGAAGATGAAAGAAAATAACAAGATGAGAAGATGATAACAAAAAATAAAAAATAAAATATCAAACTCAAGAGTGTGCTCTGATACCAAATGATGTGATTCTCCCAAAGATCAGCACTATAGAGTTGGTAGGGGATACAATTTGCATCAAAGAAACCGAGAGGTCTCAAAGATCAAAGGATGTGGAGCGAATGGTCACACAGGTGCTGCGGAAGACTCCTGATTTACCTCTCAATACCCTCAGATATTACACACTAAAAGCATTAAGGATTTCTTCGGATATTACACACCAAAGAGATGAATCTAACTTAAAAGGATTTTTGATAAAAAAGATAGATTGATTTTTTTAATATAAGGGAGCCTCTATTTATAGAGGAAATACAACAATGTCGTCCATAATAGTTGCTAAACATGCAGAGCATCTAGGAAGATGAAATACCAACTCTAAAGTGCATGTAAGAGAGAGAAATAGACATAATTAAATGTAGTTGTTGCTATGGACGAAAATTGATCTTTTTTTATTGTTTTTGGGCTGAATCTACTTTGCTGGGCTTCTCTGATTGATCAAGATTGTAGAATGAGTCGGTTTGTAGCTTAGTTCATTATGGCTTGGTCGGAATCCTTCAATAAATGCGTCCATGTCTAAATCCGGTACACTGGAGATCACCTAATTTGTAAATTGCATAACTCCTTCATCCGAACTCCATTTGATTTGATTCTTCTTTGAGGAGCTCCGTGATTGAGCTGAGCACATTCTCCAAGAAATTTCATGCACTGAATCAACATGATTGAGTATTTACGATTCGATCAGTGTACGCATGTCCTAATGCTTCTCATGATCATATCATACTCTCTCTCTTGAAAAAGATTTGTCCTCAAATCTTGCTCTTTATAGAAAGAACAATTTGGACATAAACTTTTAAAACAATTGATCAAGATTGAATTTAAAAACTGCAAAACCACCAGATTTGTTTTTTTTCTCTTTTTTTTTTGTTTTTTTCTCTCTTTTTGTTTAATAAAGAAAAATAAATAAAGAAGAATAAAAAGAAAAAGAAAAAGAGAAGGTGAAAGATAGAAGATGAAAGAAAATGACAAGATGAGAAGATGATAACAAAAAATAAAAAATAAAATATCAAACTCAAGAGTGTGCTCTCATACCAAATGATGTGATTCTCCCAAAAATCAGCACTCTAGAGTTGGTAGGGGGATAAAATTTGCATCAAAGAAACCGTGAGGTCTCAAAGATCAAAGGATGTGGAGCGAATGGTCACACAAGAGCTGCGGAAGACTCCTGATTTACCTCTCAATACTCTCAGATATTACACACTAAAAGCATTAAGGATTTCTTCAGATATTACACACCAAAGAGATGAATCTAACTTAAAAGGATTTTTGATAAAAAGATAGATTGATTTTTTTAATATAAGGGAGCCTCTATTTATAGAGGAAATACAACAATGTCGTCCATAATAGTTGCTAAACATGCAGAGCATCTAGGAAGATGAAATCCCAACTCTAAAGTGCATGTAAGAGAGAGAAATAAACATAATTAAATGTAGTTGTTGCTATGGACGAAAATTGATCTTCTTTGATTGTTTTTTGGCTGAATCCACTTTGCTGGGCTTCTCTGATTGATCAAGATTGTAGAATGAGTCGGTTTGTAGCTTAGTTCATTATGGCTTGGTCGGAATCCTTCAATAAATGCGTCCATGTCTAAATCCGGTACACTGGAGATCACCTAATTTGTAAATTGCATAACTCCTTCATCCGAACTCCATTTGATTTGATTCTTCTTTGAGGAGCTCCGTGATTGAGCTGAGCACATTCTCCAAGAAATTTCATGCACTGAATCAACATGATTGAGTATTTACGATTCGATCAGTGTACGCATGTCCTAATGCTTCTCATGATCATATCATACTCTCTCTCTTGAAAAAGATTTGTCCTCAAATCTTGCTCTTTATAGAAAGAACAATTTGGACATAAACTTTTAAAACAATTGATCAAGATTGAATTTAAAAACTGCAAAACCACCAGATTTGTTTTTTTTTCTCTTTTTTTTTTTGTTTTTTTCTCTCTTTTTGTTTAATAAAGGAAAATAAATAAAGAAGAATAAAAAGAAAAAGAAAAAGAGAAGGTGAAAGATAGAAGATGAAAGAAAATGACAAGATGAGAAGATGATAACAAAAAATAAAAAATAAAATATCAAACTCAAGAGTGTGCTCTCATACCAAATGATGTGATTCTCCCAAAAATCAGCACTCTAGAGTTGGTAGGGGGATAAAATTTGCATCAAAGAAACCGTGAGGTCTCAAAGATCAAAGAATGTGGAGCGAATGGTCACACAAGAGCTGCGGAAGACTCCTGATTTACCTCTCAATACTCTCAGATATTACACACTAAAAGCATTAAGGATTTCTTCAGATATTACACACCAAAGAGATGAATCTAACTTAAAAGGATTTTTGATAAAAAGATAGATTGATTTTTTTAATATAAGGGAGCCTCTATTTATAGAGGAAATACAACAATGTCGTCCATAATAGTTGCTAAACATGCAGAGCATCTAGGAAGATGAAATCCCAACTCTAAAGTGCATGTAAGAGAGAGAAATAAACATAATTAAATGTAGTTGTTGCTATGGACGAAAATTGATCTTCTTTGATTGTTTTTTGGCTGAATCCACTTTGCTGGGCTTCTCTGATTGATCAAGATTATAGAATGAGTCGGTTTGTAGCTTAGTTCATTCTGGCCTGGTCGGAATCCTTCAATAAATGCGTCCATGTCTAAATCCGGTACACTGGAGATCACATAATTTGTAAATTGCATAACTCCTTCATCCGAACTCCATTTGATTTGATTCTT